ACTAGTTGGCCATGAAATGGTTATTTTAAAACAATTATAAGCATTCAGTTGCAACTTGTCAGAAATGTAAATAGGTGGTTTACTTTTACAACATAGAAAAGAATCAAAACTTTCCGGTACTTCCAAGCCGAGCGCAAAGAAAATCAACAAAATTGTTAGCATGAGCATGAAAACATTTCGTGTATACGTATACGCGACGGAGTGTGCGTAAGAAAAACGTCAGCAATCTCTATAATTCTTTCGGTTTCGCTCGCATATACATGGGGCGACACTGTCGAATCTTGGTCGAAATGCATGGAATGGTGACAGTCCTAGGACAAAAAGGTTGAAATCACGCATAACTTTTCATAAAGGTTAATGTACCATTCAAAACTTTTCCAAATGTTTGTTAAATTCATCGGTTGCACCCGTAGAATAAGAATATACATTTGCCCTCAAATAAAAAAAATGAATTCAACCTGAACATTGCATTAGGTCCTAAGTAACATTGACAGATTCTCTTCGTCGACTTTCTCTTTGCATCCCCACGGTCATGTAAAGACTTAAATCGCACAGTATGTTTCTTCAAAAAAGCTATTTATATAATGTATTTGCATAAGAGAAAAATATAACATTATATAGTTGTAAGCAAAAAAACCGAAACAGAAAGAAAAAACCATATTTTCGACATTTTTTTCTTTAACTCCATATAGCTTGGAACTAGTAGACTGTGGAAATTTAACGTCTTTGAAAGAGCTGTTCATTTTGTCAAGATAAACAACTTTGCCCAAGACATCAATTCTTCAAAACGTCAGAGAAAGAAGTTAGATTATGGCACCATATTTGCGGAAGAGTTTTGAACTATATGTTTATGTCAATAGATGGTCCTTATTATGATGAGAAATTTTGCCCAAGACACCAAGTCACGGAAATGTTTCGTTTCGGAGTTATTAATTTTGCTCCGCTAGGTTGGATTCGTTACCCAGTGTGCAATGTAAGCATTAGACATTTTAAGAAATTGCGCTTGGTGTTTTTCTTGCCTGCTGTCCTCTGTCGCCATATTGCCATTATGAAAATGCCATTAGCCTTGGAATAAAATCCAAGAAGTTTCAATAAAATAATGGCTCAATAAGAGATCCGAAATGATTTCCAGTGTGCATTGGTATGAATTTATGTATTGAGATCTATTTTATGTAAAATTAAGGTAATTCCATCAAATTCATTTGATTTCTGAAACAATCTTTTTTGTTAACTTGAATTATTTTGGAGGCGCATTTATTTAAAGCTCATATTATCCCAATATACACGATAAAATTTCAAGCGCATATGCTTTGGAACTTCAAAAAAGTCGTATATTTTCTTTAAGATTTTCACTAATGTCGCCATGAAACAAAATTGATTGCATGATGATCTTGACACCAACACTCAAACCTATTTTTACCGATAAAGATTTCCATATGAAAAAAAAAAGTTTCAGCAGAACAGAACAACAACAAGCTAATTTATGGCGGTTGCTTTGAAGCCAATAAAAATTAAATTGGCTTTATAACTGATTTTCACCAAAGCGTAATAAAACTGCTTGGATACAATATTACTCTTATAGAGGCTATGAGAACCTTTTGTAGAGTATGGGGCTTTCTGATTAAAGGTTTTAAGACAGCTTTATTGTGATTCTCAAACATGCTTTATAAACCTTATCAAGAGTGGTCCACTAAGCTGGAAGACGATCTTATAGCGGTTATCAAGAGGTTGTGCTGGAGCTATTAATTTTATTGACGGTTTTATAAAATTGATCTCAATAACCACTAATAGAGTGCAATAAAACAATAAATGCTACTTGGGCTATTCTGTATTTCGTTCCATACGAAATTCTCGTACAGAAAAAAATTGTATAGGAATTTCATTTTGAACAAAATACAGAATAGGGGTGACTCATTCTACCGATTACATACGGTTGTTTGCTTAAATTTATCTAAATCAGATAGAAATGATGATGTTAAAACCGAATAAAAATTATACTCATGAGTGCTTGATCATTGAAAAATGACAAGAAAGCTAATGATAGGTAGTTCCGTCTCGCGATAGTGAGAGGACCTGTTTTCTCATCGTTACATGACGGTCGTGATATTTACCAGCTCTGACATTGCTACTGACGCCAGGGAGACAGCTCTCACACATCTGAACCCTACCTATCTACCCATCAATCAATTCATGAACCGGGGACCACCCAACTAACATTTTCAGCTTTATAAGCCAACTTTTCCAGCATTGTGCTGTAAAGTAGCTGAAACAAAGCTGCAGATACAGCTACAAGCGAAAGCTAGCAAAATACTTTTGGAGAGCGTTTACTCAACTTTCACACAACCATTATTCAATTTGTCAGTCGCACTGAATAACATCAGCCAATCAACGCTAATGTCGCTTCTATACACACACTAATCAACCTTCAACTTGTAGCTGCAAAACAAAGCTAACAAAGTGAATATATTACTCATTTCATGGCTACTACGCAACCAACTACTCTTGCTGAATAACATAAACATCAAAAGTGCTTTTTCAGCAACTAAACAACCTGTACTCAGCTAATAAACTGTGTTAGTGCTACTTTGGAAGCATTTTTACAGTCAACTAGGTTTATTTTTAGACTTGTGCAGCTTTTACTCTGCTCCTTTACAAAACTGAAGTAACTAGTCGAGAAAAGTGATTCATATGCACTATTATAAAGCCTCTACTCAACGGTATTACGGTATTATTGTAAAAAGTCATGTATATTTGTTTACGTCAGTTCAAAGTGTTGGCGTAGCGAAGTTGGTAGTGTAAAGGTTGCTAATACGGTCGTCTCGAGTTCGATTCCAGGTTGGTGTAGGGTAAATGATTTGGTGGTTTGCTTATAACTAATTTCGAATAATTTGATTCGCACAGCAAAATAAACTCAATCAATTCCTCCAACAAAAAAAGCGTAAATAATATTTAACCCGGCTTCAAGAGAAAGCTGTGTAGTGATTATTGGATAACCGGGAAAAGGTTGAATAAGCGCCTTTCAAGTTCACATACAACTAAACAGCAGGATAACAGTTGTTATAGAAGCGTTAATGGATATGCAATAAGAGCTTGTCACAACTCTCCCAACAGTCATAATTAGGTGACTTAGTTCGCCAGATTTGCTTGTATAGAAGTTGAGTAAAGGTTTCCTCATATCGTATAACATTTAAATACAGCTTGAGGCTGTATAAATGAAATGAGTAAAGCGTTTACATTGCGAAAATTGTTAGTTGGGTACAACCCGAAGGAAGGCGTGATCAGAGATGTTATGCCTGAGAACATCCCGGCGGTGCCGACGGTAGGGTAAATAGCTCTAATGTTGACCTATGGATGTAAGATTGGGCCCATCGCTAAAAATCTGGTATTTATTGATTTTATCTAGATGAACGCGTCATTGGGATGATAATTTTGGTCGCTTTTGAAAATTTAGTCGATTGCTGAATTTATGTATGGGCCCAAATTAGGAGCATATAGGCCGACATTACATCCATTTCCCCTAGTCGGTAGAACATTCCGGAGCTAATTAAACGAAGCATTTGAAGGAAGTAAAAAAAAATGCATTGGGGGATTTTGAACAAACAATTTGTATGGGATATATTTAGACTGGATTACCATAGAGTTGGAGAAAATATCGAAATAGAGAGAGAACGAGCATGGGAAAGTTGACTGTTTGAAATAGTACTTTAACATATGAGGGGGTTAGAAGGAAAGGGGTGTAAGTGACTTTGATCGATTCTATTCATTGACTTTCTTTTTTGATAGCCACAGCTTTATAAACAGATTTTGCGCTTTTTCTGCCACATAGTTTGATAAAGGAGGTTCTCATCTAGCATCCAGAATGGCACACGAATCAAGGAATGTGTTTGCAGCTGAACTATTTACGAAAGAGAAAGTCGATGAAGAGAATTGATCAAAGTCACTTACACCCCTTTCCTTCTAACCCCTCATATATTTTAGGTAATTTTTGACTTGTCCGGGGATGTTTGCCACTACTTTGTTTGCCACTACTTGCCTATATTGGTAAGCTAACTGTAGGTACACAAGTGAACATCTTGAACGTATTCCATAGCCAACGTATGTATCCTAGTCTAAATGGCCATCCAATATTCCCCTGCTAACGATGTGCTTAGTAGCGATACCATCCACGCAATTATGACTTTCAAATATGAGGTCTTACGCTATAAGAACATGCTGCTTCGAAAGATGTGCACCGTAATCCAGTTGAAGTTTTCGTTTCCCATATCGACGGCGATTCATATGCCATTACAGAAATTGTGCGCACTCAAACTGAGTACTGACTGAGTTGTTGAAAAAAGCAAAATTCTCCCAGTCAGCAAAACATTCCCGTGTAGGATATGATGATTGCTATCGCAGCCTGGCTGAAGATGTTCGCTTTCCGCACATATGCGCGGCGTTTGGTGAATGGTTAAGAAGCTTCTTTTCGCCAATTCAGTTCGTCTTGTTGTACGGTAAGATGGTTGGCAAATAAGATTTTCTTTTGTGCTGTGCACATTGAAATGAGCAGCTCCAGATGCAATGTTTGGTACGAATTTGCATTCAAGAACCCTTAACATTTATAGAGTGTAGCAGTTTGCTTGTCAGTTTGATTGAATTGGGATTGCTTTTCATATTTGTAATGTACTAGAAAATTGGGATTAAATGGAGTATTATGCTCAGCTGAGAGACACCGACTTCCGGCAGTCTTTCAATTCGGTCATTTAATTTTTAATGAAATATCCCATTCACTTGGAAACAAAATAATTATAGGATCATCATATTTGGCCTTGGTAGTTTTGCAAGTGTCTGTATTTATGGACTAAGAGTCCGGATTTTGGTGCAATACGGCACCGGTCCCAAAGTTTGCTATCGAATTGATCGAATTCCAATTACGAAGGCTCCAGTTGGAAATTCCTTCGCTTAATCCCATCGGAAGAAAACTCATTAAAGCACCGTCGTCGCGCGAAATCACTCTACTCAATTTGGCTTTATTTAGAATTTAGGAACTTGACACACACGTTCGCAGAGCTACACACTCGCTTCGACTAAGCCCGGCAATAAATTCTCCTCTCCTGAACGGCAGCCTGCCTGGCTGCCTGCGGCCGAACCGGATGTTTCCATTCCGCTATCGTAAATAATCATCATCTGTAGATTTAGTCGACACAGTTCCCTTTTTCGGATGACCGCACACACTCTGCTGGCTGGCCGTTCTCGCTAATGTAGTCGCCTGGCATCAGGAATCGGGAGGGATTTCAGAGCTGATTATGATCTCCGGTGTGGCTGAATTTGGGACCGAGAGCACAATTGAGGCATGAGACTGGTCAGCTACGGACCCATCTATCACCATTATCTGCGGGGTGGGATTAGAGGCACAAGCAGAACAACTTTTTCACTTAATCGGTTAAAATTAGATTAGAGTTCGGTCCAGTCGATTGTCGGGAGATTTACCTCTAAATTTTTGCACTACATGGTAAAACGTCCGTTGGGACCGATTAGTATACCATGGGGAATCGATTGCTGAAATCGGTCTGGTACGTTGAACGGTAGATTTCGAAACTGTTGGGACCATAAGCGGAGGTCCTTCTCTGATGATAGCACGAATTGTTCCAAACGTCCTCGTACATTGCCTGAGTGGTTGTCTTCGGGATAAAATGTTTGGTTGTGTAGCCAAAAGTGCGATAGGTGGCACGCTGTGGAAGGGAAAAAGAGATTATTTTCGATTACACTGGGCAAAAATGGCTGAATAGGGGGAATGGCTCTAATGTTGACCTATAGATCTAAGATTGGGCCCATCGCTTAAAATCTGCTATTTATCAATTTTATCTAGATAAGCGCTTCATTGAGACGGTACTTATTGATATTTTTGGTCGCTATTGAAAATTTAGTCGATTGCTGAATTTATGCATGGGCCCAAATTAGGGGCATTTAGGCCGACATTACATCCATTTCCCCTATTTGCAGAATTATGTTTCCCATGGCACTTTGTAATTTTACAAGTAAATATTAAAATTTGTTTTCAATGTATAGTGGACCCTACACGATTGCTTTTATTGACAATAATCGTATTGTCAATACATTCTATATTGACGTCAATACATCGAGATTGTCAATATTTCTGAATTCACATCATCAATATTATTGTCAATAATTCCCCTTCGCGTCAATATATTGATGCGTGTGAGGTTTGCTTATGATGCTGAAACTAAAATCGATGGCTTGCTGGATGAGCAGCATGCAGTGTCTGAAATTTGCAGACCTATAAACTTCGTGATTGTTGAGACCCTTATGCTCCATCTTCCTTTGCTTCACGAGCTTTCGACTGTTCTTAGCTTTGTGATCATTGAAGCACTTCCACAGTTATTCATTACAAACCAATGCCAGTGGCCAGCATAATCATACTCTTTACCCAAGGAAATTTCCAACCATTGACCTACGGCTTGGTGATACCATGCTTTAACAGACTTGGTTATCTGAGGACCCTATTAAGATCCATGTTCTTGATTTATCCAAGTATCATAAATAATGGTTTTTACCTTCGAGTAGAAAACATCATATACATTTATGATTTTCCCGTAAACGAAACAATTATATTTTTGGTACGATTCTTTAGATCAAACCTACAAAACACGGTCTATTGCGACCTTACAAACAAATATTTACTCTCAATTTTCTTAAAAACAAACGAAGCGCTCCAAACGAATCTATTTTTACAATCCATATTTGCCTTCATCTGTTCGACGAAGTTAAATGAGGTTTCAATGCGTTTGAACGAAATTGAAGCACATTGGCCGAATTTAAAATCAAGAAGCAATGTTCTAATTAAAAAAAAAATAAAAAAAAATGTTTCTCTTCCTCAAACGTTCATCTAGATAAATTTGATAAATAGTAGATTTTTATCGATGGGCCCAATCTTAGATCCGTATGCCAACATTAGAGCCATTTCCCCTATTAGGGTTATGGGATGTAATATCAGCCTAGCTCCTAACTTCGACCTATCAAGCAAATAACTAATTTATTCAGCAATAATACATAATAATAATGAAAAACTAATATCACATCTGCTGTGAAATTGAAATCCCTAAATGAATTGCCTATTTTTGGGACAAATTTAGTACATTTATGGATCTTTTTTGAAGGAAAAGTTGAGTGAAATGTTCATATTTTTCGATTTTTAGGCACCGTGATATTGCCATATTATAGCACTAACGAAAATCTGCGGTGGTCATCAAAAAACCTGATAATTTCATGAAATGAAAGGACTTACCTTTTTGTAGCATGGTATCCAAATAAATCAATATCGCAGTTTTCATTTGTCTTGTTTATTTAAATGTTTTAACGCAATTTGCTCTTTAAAACTGTTTGCCGAACTTTAGGGACGTCATTTTGAGACGTGTTTTTAATTATAGCCTACGAAATTTATATGATGACTTTATATTGGTATTGGTGAAACCATTTGCATAGACGACGAGTCTGGAACTCTTTACTCCTGTAGGAAAATCCCATAATCAAATGTTAGTTTCGAGAAACGGATAATTTTTGCACCTTTTTACTCCATTGAAAAGTCCTGAAGGCAAAACGGGTCGAAACAATACGTCAATTCGCGTCTACAAAGCTTCTGTAGCTCTTTACTCCTATGGGGAAATCCGATAAGCAAACGTCACTGGATGCATGACTTTTTCTTATTCGGTCGCTCTACTGATAAAAACCGTAGCCGTAACCGTAACCTTTACTTGAAAATTCCATGTCGACCAGCGAACTAGTTCTAGATAAACATCTCAAAAGGACCTATCTGCACTGATCGATTCTCTTCATCGACTTTCTCTTTCGTCAATAACTCAGCTGCAAAACCTTTCCAGGATGTATTTAACGTTTTAGACGCTAGATAAGAACCTTCTTTATCAAACTATGTGGTAGAATCAGCACAAAATCTGTTTGCATAGCAGCGCAGTTTTGTAATTTGTACTAAAGGTTTAGTACGATTAGTTATCCTCCCATTTCATCCTCCAAGAATGTTATACAGGTACCCTACATTGAGGAGCATAAGAATTCGATCAAGCTCAAATCTGTACCGGATTTTTAGTACGATTAGCTATCCTCCAAGCAAATCCGTTAAAATGTATTGTGCTCAGTAATATCGAAATTATTCACCGTCAAATAAATTGAGGACATGACCATCATTCAGAACTCGTCCTTAACTTGTAACTTGGAGCCTCTAAGATTGAAAATTATTTTTTTTAAGAAAAAGGTATTTTTTAATATTCTAAGCCACATAACTTGAACCCAAAACAAATTGAGGACATGATCATCATTCAGAACTCGTCCTTAGAGTCCTGCAGGCGAGTCCTGGTGTTGGAAGCTCACGCCACGAACTTGTAACTTGGAGCCTCTAAGATTGAAAATTATTTAAAAAAAAAATGTATTTTTTAATATTCCAAGGCTTATAACTTGAACCCAAAACAAATTGAGGACATGACCATCATTCAAAACTCGTCCCAGCCGAGGCATAAAAATCTCTGTTTACGTCTTCCTTCGGAAGGGAAGTTAAGTGGTTGGTCCCGGCCCATGTGTGTGTGTGAATGGGTGCGATAGCCTGAGCAGGTGTGGAAGCTGCCTTCCTGCACATTCGATTGCCGTAAATGGATGGCAATCGATGTCCGTCGGTGATTGGCACTAGATTGCGGAACAGAGACCGACGTTAAATAAAGGAATGAAGAAGTGGATTATGAATTAATTGAAATTTTGGTATTTACTACAAGCTAACTTATAATTGCTCAAATGTACTGTAGGAAGTGATGCAATGGTTCGCTAATTAACTGAAATATGATTCTGTTCAAAGGTTTTGGGAAGAAACACCATTTCACGATACGTTTCTGATGAACTGATTTTTTTCAATTCATTAATGAACATTTACAGTTACCTACCCACTGAGAGAATTAGCAAAAATATTATCAGCAATGTCAGGCTGCTGTCATTGCTTTAAATGAACTATACCTCATGACTATAATTCCTTGTGCGTCAACATAATTTTATACAATTTAGAATTAATCAGTATGGTTTTTTGAAATATGATTTAACTTCATAAGGCACACGGCTGTCGAATTTGATCTATGTTTGAGTTCTGTTCACTCAAATTCGCAAAAACGCAGGTCACTCAAAGACTAAGTAAAATGTTCCTCGGTTCTCCAGAAAAAAAAAAATGTTTCGAATGTAAGGAAAATCGAGAGAGGTTTCACTCAGTCTAATAATATACTCTTAGACTGAGTAAAATTTCCGTCGATTTTCTTCATATTGGAGCACATTTACGAGGAAAAGCGAGGAACATATTACTCAGTCATGAGTGACCTACATTTTTGCGATTATGAGTGAAAAACCACTCAATTTTGAGCCGATCTCATGGGCCGAGCATTGAAATTCCGATTTAAGCCTTTCGGACTGTTACTTCTAAAGCAACATGTGATAAGGTTCTATGAGCCGAATGTAAATAATAACTTTACACGATTGCTCATGAATCACAACACGTCCTCGCAAATTAACTACACCATTTGATAGAGCAAACTTATATATACCTATATATACTGCTGTTGGTTTGCCTAAATGAGTCTTTTTTTTTTTAATAATTTGTTTATTTTTCCAGGCTCATTTGCTGTAGCTTTGCGGAGCCGATATTCATTGTTTAGACAACAAAATTACTTAAAACTAACGTTAGTAAAGCGGGGGCCGATTACTCGCGGCTATCTCGAGGTTAGGGGTAACAAATTGTAACAAATGGATGGCAGGGTAGGGATTGTGAACACAAGGTTTGGAGAGCAATGTGCTCTTGATCTCGAACTAGGCGACACTCTGATGAAAAAGACAAACATGGGGGTACACCGATGGGCAGCTAACAACTTGGGAGAACACAAGATGACACTAACTACTAAATCCTCAAATCTATCCGTTTTAAAAACTCATAAATTAAATTCAAATAGTCGAGGTCTCGGCTCGCCAAGACATCTCTAACGGGTATCGCGGGTTGTTTTCCTCGGGCCCTGAGGGATGTGGATAACTCAGATCTGGCAACACGGTGTAAGGTACATGACCAAACAACATGCTCGATATCGTGATAACCACTGCCACACGCACATAAATTGCTGTCTGAGAGCCCAATTCGATAGAAATGCGAGTCTAACGAGCAGTGAATGGACATTAGCCTTGATATAACGCGTATAAAGTCGCGGCTCATGTCCAACCCTTTGAACCATGGTTTGTTCGACACCTGTGGGAGAATAGAATGTAACCATCTTCCCAATTCACCATCATTCCATTTTTGTTGCCAACTGATGAGGACTTGCTGGCGAGCAATGGAGAAAAATTCGTTGAAGGCGATTTGTCGCTCAAAAATATCGCCTTCCATAGCGCCCACCTTAGCCAATGAGTCCGCTTTCTCATTACCCGGAATTGAGCAATGAGATGGGACCCAAGCTAAGGTGATAGTATAGGAGCAGTTAGATAAAGCACTCAGTTTAGATCGTATTTCAGGCAGGAAATACGAGGAGTGCTTCATCGGCCTCATTGAACGAATAGCCTCCAACGAGCTAAGACTATCCGTAAAAATGAAATAATGGTCAGAAGGTAGTGAGGCAATTCGCTCTACTGCGTAAAATATAGCTGCGAGTTCCGTAACGTATACGGAGCATGGTTTCTGCAGTTT